CCAAGTTAAATAGTTATTCCCGTCTAAGGCTAGTTCGGTAAATTCACGCTTGGTTAGTACAACCATAATCGTTCACCGGGGTTGAACGTGCTGATAACGTGTTGAATTACAGGTTTGTCTGCAGGCCTTTAGCTCGTGGAGAACAGTAATAAAGAGTAATAATAGCAAGAAGAAGAATAATAATAAAGAACATAGAAAAATAATTCTTATTATCATCCGGGGAAGGAACTCTGTACAGCATTACAATGGTATATATAACATCTCTATCATAATAGCCTTCAGGACTCTTACATAATTAGGACTCCTACAGTATTAAGAATCCTATCGTCAATAGAATAATGTCCGCAAAGGTTTTACAACACATAATTGATTAATATGAAAAAATAAATGGTTAGATCATTGCATTTTAATTAAAACTAAAACGGAAACTAAAATTGGACGAAAATATTTCAATAATAATATTCTACATCATAAATAGTAAATGCATATTTTAAAAAATAGTAAAGGTAAATTAAAAATTGAACGGAAATATTTCAATAATAATATTATACATCATCAATTAAAAATGGAACGAAAATTAGGTAAAAAAATCACTGCATATGATATTTTAATTGACTAATTGACTAAAAAAAATAATTGACTAAAAATGAATCTGATATTATTAATTGACTTAAAGTATAAAAGGATCGCTAATTGACTAATATCCTACCATTATATATTTTCACCCGACTCACCTATCCTGATAGATTGGAGGTGTTAGCTCTAGACGATGATGGACAAGATTGTGTTGCTACTACCAATGTTGTCTACAAAGAAGTTTCAATAGTGTGTAAATACAATCGTTGCTATTATGTTTTTTTTTTAAATGACAAAATTGCTATATATTTAGACAAAAAATATATCTTCCAAACAAATGAATTAGGATAGCACTTCATTCATATAACTGAGATGCTAGAGAACGAGAACATTTAATTCGCCTAATTTATATATATAAAAAAACAATGATAAATAAAATCTCTAAAGTTATACCACCGCATGCATACATCTACACATTAACTATTAATTCGAGCAATTATTTGCTTAAATTCAAGCAATGATAACATCAAAACACACAAATTATCCAAATCACATTTTCAATTGCATTATATAATATAGAGTATTTTATGTTCTAATCTAAATAATTATATATCGATCCAAATATTCTTAATATATTACAACAAATCAATTCCGTGCATCGCACGGGTGAAAATACTAGTTCAGTTAATAAAATAAAATTACATAAAAATAAAAATTTGTATGAGACTTTATTTTTACATTTTGATTTAAAAATATTATTCCTTTCGTTCCATTTTGATTATTTAGTTCGATTAATGAAGCCTGATCGAAATTATTTTTAATTCAATTTTTCATAAAATATTAAGTTTTTTATTAGTATATAAAATTTATATATTTAAAAAAAAGTCAAATTTAAAAATGATTAAAGTTTACTAAAGAAAATAAGCAAAGAAGAAATAGTTGGTTTGACCAATAAATAAAATATGACAGAAGAAATATATTTTTCTCAAAAATATTACAAATTGTCTTAATTATAAGTAATCAATACCTTATTCTTGATTAGTATTACATTTTTAAATATAAATATTACATTTTCTTTTTGACTCAACCCGTCCCACGAATAAGGATACGTGAAACGGCCTCACGGGAAAGTTACTCTAAAAGCATATAAAAGGTTAATTGTATATACATATTTTGAATTTTGTTTTAAACCAAGATCCACAATGCAAGATTCGTCCGTATCCAGAGTATATAATTTAGAGTTTGCTACATGTATTCTCAAATTCTACTTCTTCACTTTTATTTCCTGACAAACAATGATAAGATATTTTTATCATTAAGTTCCCAAAAAATTGTGAGAAAGAGTAAAAGTTGGAAGTGAAAAGTGAGAGATTAGGTACTAACTGAAAATTTCCAGAAATTTTCAGAAACTGGAAAATAGAAAACAGAAAACATGTTTACTAACACAGTTTTCCATTTTGAAAACTGAAAATAATTTTTTGAAATTTCTGGAAATGTGGAACACACTTAAAAACTATTTTCGAAATGAAAAGCAGAATCATCTATCATCTATTTAGTTATATGTCACTATAACCACATTAATATGATTACATTCATTATCATCTTATTTTACTTATTATCCCTATATTTTATCTTTTCTACTTACTTTACTTATTTAAACATAATTTATTTGTTTACACTTTAAAGTTAGACATTATTTACATTATCAAAATTAAGAATTAAACGCTATGTAATGTTTTAGATTTTGATTGAACTCAATAGATTACTAGTTCGAATATTTTTAATTATATTACATCATAATACAATTTCGATCCAGATATCGGATATTGAAATCGATCTCACATATATTAGAATTCAAAGTAAAAGTTATATATTCATATACATGTCATTCAAATGAATATACCCAAAAATAAATTTTAAATATTAGCTCAACAAATATTAATATTATCTAAACTAAATTTTAAGTGAAAACTGAAAAATTAGAAAACAGAAAACAGAGAACAATTTTTTGTTGATAAACAAGTTTCCTAAACAGAAAACGAAGAATGAAAACTGAAAAATTAGAAAACAAAAAATAGAAAACAAATTTCTGTTAGTAAACGGACCCTAATATTTTTCTATAATTTGTCATACGTGTCCCCTCCCACTTTATTTTTTGGAAATACTATTTGGTAACAAACTACTGTATCATTTTTATATTTCACCATCAATTCATCAAACAAGGTCATGTCAATAGTTTAAAATTATGTGTGCGAATTTATCATCACTCGTTTAGTTGTATAAATAAGCCAAATGTTTGATAATATTCAAACAATTAAATAGATGAGTTAATGATGTTTCCATTACAAGAGCTTTTAGATGGGTGATCCACTTTATTATAAATACTTGATTAGAGCCCGTACGGGATTAACTCAATGATTCAATATGCAGTATTTAGAAGAAGATACTAAGGTTTGAATATCGGCGACGACAGTGTAAGATTATGCCTCAAAGTGGACAGATTTATTGTGCGCATCAACATTTGGGCTTGTTTGGTGGGCCATTAAGTTACTGTGGTTTACATCCCCCAATTAGTATTGTCATTTTGCTAAAACTCGTTAGATCAAAATTGATATTTGCTCTTTAATATTATAATTAAAAAAACATTACAAGTACTAAAATATTCATGTACAACTAAAACTTTAATATAGTTTAATAATTTTGTTACTTTAGGAGTTAAAATTAAAACTTTATTGAAGAGTTATGAGTGTATATCGCAATAATGGTATGTGTGTGTGTATATTTCCTACGTGGCATAAATTACTTAATATTATTTAGGAAAATGTTATTTTCCCTTCCAGGTTCCACTCTTAACATTCATCAATGGTGTGATTTTCATTCATTGAGTGCTAATGAATTAACTTAATCACCACTAATTAAAAAATAAATTTAGCTATCACTAAGCTAAGCTGATTTCACATCAAAAATGGAAGTTTTTAAGAGAAATACAGGAAGAGTTACACTGTTTTATTGTTAATGGGCTGTTTTACATATAATCACATATTGTCATTCAATTTTTTTATTTATTTATTTTATTTTATTTTATTTTATTTTATTTTATGATTGATCATTGGTTTTGCCGATAATTTTTTTTAAACAAATACGGAGTAATAAATATAACATGTAGTGAGGAAAGTAATATTGATGGTAGTATTTTTCATTATTAACCTCTTGCAAAAGTAGATATTTAAAGCAACCCTTTTGACCGAGGAATCTTTAAAGCAAAGATGGAATTATTGGCGTGCACGTTATTATATAGTATAGTTTTCAAGAAACAAAAGTTGATTAGATAAATTAAATAACTATATGGAATATATTTTTTTAAGGTGATGTAGGCACACGTGATTTTTGTGATGGTGAAGGTGAGGTTAGGTAGCAATTGTTATACTATGGATCAAGTCTATTTCGCATCATTGTAAGGTTTGCTTAAAAAATTATGTGCATATAAATATATATTGAAGACATATTTCTTCAAAAAAATTTGAAGCACATAATTTGTTAACTATAAACACATATTAATTATATATTATGTAACTTTATTTTATTTAGTATAATTAAATAATGTATATTGCCAAATGAAACTGTAATATAACTAAAATGATAATTTAGTATTGTTATAATGAAACTAGTGTGTGTGGAATTAAAATTAAAAATAGAGTAATATTTTCAAATGAAACTGAAGTATAATTAAAATAATAATTACTTCATGGACCACACTACGATAAATTATTGTGTGGACTATGGTCAACATAGTTGTGTGGACAATGAATGTAATATACATTTTTAATATACTAAAGTACATTATTTGTGTGTTGAATGCACATTATTTGATACTATATAAAAATCATGTACTTTTTTTTTTTTTTTTTGAAAATAAACGCAGCTTGCATTAATTAAGATAATAAAACGAAAATAGAGTCAGGAGGGACCGAATCCCAATACAAAGTGCTAGCCTGTGAAACGGCTGCAGTAGCTAAAGAATGAGCTATAACATTAGATGATCTAGAGAATAAACTAATAATGCAATTATTAAAATTGGGAATATCAGTGCTGCACTCATCAATACGAGAAAATGCATGCCTAACCCATATAGATAATGTTTTGTCGAAAATAATGTACTTTTAGTATATTAAAGATATATATATTTTATTTATGATTCACACAAATGTTTAGACCATGATCCATGGAAGAATGATTGAGACATTGCTATATGGACTAATGGACCATAGTCCACAATAAAATTTGCCCGGACATACTTGGACAGTTTGACCCAAAACTTAATACTCTGTATAAAATTTTGAGTCCACCATTAAAACGGGCTAAAGGCCCACAGGCCAGATCTACCAAGTTCCTCGAGTTCGCCACTTAAAAGTAAACCTATTCACTTACTCGCAGAAAAACCCTAGCTCAGTTGTGCAGTTGCGCGAAAACCCGAACCCTAAGCATGGCTGAGAGAGGAGGATTTGGGCGCGGTTTTGGGGGACGAGGGCGCGGCGGAGACCGTGGAGGAAGAGGCCGCGGTGGTCGCCGAGGTCGCCGTGACACCGAGGAGGAGAAGTGGGTTCCGGTTACCAAGCTGGGACGTCTTGTGAAGGAAGGCAAGATACGATCTTTGGAGCAGATCTACCTCCACTCTCTTCCCATCAAGGAGTATCAAATCATCGATACTCTTGTCGGGCCATCTCTCAAGGATGAGGTCATGAAAATCATGCCTGTCCAGAAACAGACTCGGGCAGGGCAGAGGACCCGGTTCAAGGCATTCGTGGTCGTCGGCGACGGCAATGGCCATGTCGGGCTCGGCGTGAAGTGCTCCAAGGAAGTCGCCACTGCCATTCGCGGCTCCATTATATTGGCTAAGCTGTCTGTGGTTCCCGTGAGGAGAGGTTACTGGGGGAACAAGATTGGGAAGCCTCACACTGTGCCTTGCAAGGTCACCGGAAAGTGCGGTTCAGTTACCGTCCGGATGGTCCCGGCTCCCCGTGGTGCTGGAATTGTTGCTGCTAGGGTTCCTAAGAAGGTGCTCCAGTTTGCTGGTATTGAGGATGTCTTCACCTCTTCCCGTGGCTCTACTAAAACCCTTGGAAACTTTGTTAAGGTATTCTCTTTTTACTGTTCTGTCTCTCTGCTAATCTTTTGCTTTAAACTTATATATATGATTGATTGAATACCTCTGTTTAATATGTATATTCAATGATCCATTTTATTATCTGGTCTTATTGAATTGCACTATTTGTATTATTCAAATCATACTATTATTATATCTTGAATTGGGATTATGCACTTTTAGTATTATCATTATTCCCTAGTCATACAGTTCAATGGAGAATCTTGTTACTTGTTTGTTGAAATATAGTTTTATAGTTTCACAGCTTAATCATTTTCCCTCATCGGATCGGATGAACCATGAGTAAATTAGCAGCTGGTCTTTTGTTTAGATTGATCTACTACTATAGATGTCCAATTGTCATTTCTGCATATTGGTTGGTTGATGTGTTTTGTTGGTTAATCAGTTATTCAGCTGTTTCAAACATATACCTTATGAGTCACACCTGTGTGCAACATTTTCGAACATACTTTCTCAACCTAATGAAGCACAAAGAGTCCACAACGCCTCCATTGAGGCTCGATCTCATGACCTTCTGAGCACAAGGTGCTTGGCAGGATAGTTGATTATACTTGAGCACAATGTACCTTCATTGAACATCTCACCCACTTGTCTATAACCCGGCTGGTCTCACATAAGTTTTTGCCATACCCTATTGATTCATTCTGTCATCTAAAATGTCTGTTGGCAACAAAGATGGTTGAATTAAGTATGGGCTGCACTATTTGACTTCCCGAATGTTGTTTCTTTACAAGGAGGTTTTTGTTGGGTATCAACCTTTTGGTTTTGCGTTTTGCAGGCAACGTTTGATTGTCTTATGAAGACATATGGGTTCCTTACGCCAGACTTTTGGAAGGAGACTCGCTTCATAAAATCTCCATTCGAAGAGTATACCGATATCTTAGCCAAGCCAACCACCAAGTTTGTCCAAATTGAGGAGGTTGCTGAAAAGGTTGATGCATAAGCAAGGTTTTATGCTAGGACTTTTTTACTAGGAAATGTTTGTTTAAAGATTTTAAGGAATTTTGATCCATTTATTTCTCCTTATATAAACTCTGGTTCTCTTATCTTTTTGGACATAATTTGATAATTTAATCTGCCAATCAACTGTAGTGTGTTTAATTGTCATTCTGAGACGCTTGATTTTGTTATATTCTCCTTTGTCTTGCCCCGGCACTTGGGGTCGTTTACTAGCAAACTATTTTCTGTTTTTAAAATTTTCAATTTTCATTCTTTGTTTTTCATTCTTTTATGTTTAGAAAACTTGTTTACTAACACTTATTTTTTTAAATTTATTTATTTTTAGATTAATGCTATCAAATTAACTTAAGTTTAATTTTGAGTGATTTTTACTTTATATTTAGGATATTTTAAAATATATTTGGTTTAAATAGAATAAATATAGTTTTTACTTTTAAGTTTAAATATATGTAAGATTTTTTTATTTGATATCTAAATCAAATTTATGTTTCTATATATGACATAATTAAAAATAGAGTTAATACCCAAAATCGTCCTCGACTTTAGTGATTTTTCTCAATTTCGTTCTAAACGACTTTGGTGACCTAATATCGTTCCAGACTTTTGTGTTTCGCTCAATTTAGTCCCAGACTTTTGTGTTTTTGCTCAATTTAGTTCCTCATTTGTTATTCTGTCAATTTGGTGTTAAATAAATAGACAATTCAGTAATTTTAATATTGGCATCTCTTTACTCAGACATGTGAATTGCGAATTTTTTTTTTTTTTTTTTTACGAATTACTCCCGGAATTACTCCTAAAACTGCGAATATAAAATTTGATTTGCAGGTTCGGGAGTAATTCTGGGTGTAATTCGTACAAGAAAGAGGAATTTCGCACTTCACAAGTTGAAAGTAAAGAGAGATCAATATTGACATTATTGAATTGTCCCTTTATTTAACACCAATTTGACGGAATAACAAATGGAGGACTAAATTGAGCGAAACACAAAAGTCTGGGACGATATTAGGTCACCAAAGTCGTTTAGGATGAAATTGAGAAAAACCACTATAGTCGAGGACGATTTTGGGTATTAACTCATTAAAAATATATCTACTTTGAATTCTAATATAGTAATATATATGTGAAATTTTAATATCTAATATTTGGACTAAATTTGTATTATGATATTTAACATAATTAAAAATATTTGAACCAATAATTATTGACTTCAATCAAAATATAAATTTAGTATAGAGTTCAAATTTTAATTTTGATAGTGTGAATAATGTTTAAATTAAGTCAAATAGAAAAGATAGAAGATAATAATAAATATAATTTTAGTAATGAATAAATATGTAAGTAGATAATGGTGAGAATGTGGTTATATTGAAATATAGTCGAATAGATGATAGATGATTCTATATTTCAATTATTAAATGCATGCATATCCCCGGGGATAACTAATCCACCATTATGCGAGCGTGCAGGCACGGCAATTGCACACACGTACTCTATAGAGATTGTTCTCGCTAGAGCATTAATATTCCCTTCATCATCCTTTTCTCCCCTCTTTCTCTTAGGGACTGAAACAACCTAATTGAGAGAATTTTGGCAACTAGGATATGATCACAACAAATTCCTTTTGTTTGTAGCATTTGATTCATTTATCTTGTTAGAAAAAAAAATTGTCTCAATAGTCAATATGACCATTATAGGATTTAAATAAATAAATAAATATAAACACGTTACGTGATGGAGGAGGATAATTGATTCCGCCATCACGCTCACGTTCTTGCACACCACGCGCACGCGCCATTTAACTGCCACCTATACTCTAAAGAGAATGTTCTCTTTGGGGCATCAATCTTCCTTTCCCAATCCCTTTTTCTCCCCTCTCTCCTAGGGATGGAGATTACTTAATTCAGAGAATTTTGGTTACTAGAATATGACCACAATAATTTTATTTGAGCAAATTACCAAAATATGTTTATTGGTCCTAGTCATTTTTACTTGGCTAATTACATCCTTCGACTATCAAGTTTTTAATCATTTTAGTCCTTCGGCGACTTAAGGCATCAGACGCCCGGCGAGTGCAAAGGTAATGTAGTAATTTCAATATAATTTCCACTTCTCTTTCATCATACCGTATTAGTTTGTCAAAATTCCCAAAATGTGGTCAAATTAAACCCTTCCAAGTTAGAGGTCATCATCTGCCATCTGTGTCAAATTAAATCCTCGTCGTCGCCGCATCCACAACCAAAAACTTTCCCACTGGTGCACATTTTCGCTTCAAGGCCTGTAGATTGAATAGATGATATGGCAGTCTAGGCATCTATATCTAGATTGCCACGAATGGTAAGTCTCACCGCGACTTCCGATCTAGTGATCACCTGGACAATCGCACAAGCTTTCCTTCAATAATTCCTTGATTCTTAGCAAAGACCTTATTACAATCTTGCTCCGACTGAAATTGGATCAAAATCTGTCTTGCATTAAGCACACCTATTTGAACCTCAGTCGAGATAGTAAAACTCTCCTTGAATTTAGCCCAAATTTCATCAATCGGAGACCTCTCCTGTATAAATCACCCCACCAAGGTAATTTTTTATTCTTTGATAGCCAAATCCTTCCATTCATTCTCCTCAAATTTCACTACCGGTCTCCCTTGTTTCAAAACAATCTGATTTAAATTTGAAGACATTGGAAGACATTTAACTCATGTATCTTGTTAGAAAAAAAATTGTCTCAATGGTCAATACGACCATTATATGACTTTTTTTAAAAAATAAAAAATAAACACGGGACGTGAGGGAGGAGGGTAATGGATTCCTCCATCACTCACGCACTGGCACGCCACGCGCACGCTCTCTATTGATATGTACCTACATGCGCCATTTAGCTATCACCACTACTCCAAAGAGAATGTTCTCTTTGGAGCAGCTATCTTCCCTTCCCCCATCCCTTTTTCTCTTCTTTCTCCTACAACGGAAATGACTTAATTCAGAGAATTTTGGTCACTTGAATATGACCACAATAAATTTCTTTGTATGTAGGCTTTGACTCATTTATGTTGTTCGAACTCTTTTATCCGTCATAAATATATGTCAATATAATGGCCAATTTGAACCTTATTCCAAATTAATAATCTGTCGAGGACTAAATGTAAAACCGTCCCATAGTGGGACCAAACACTTGTGCCATTTATATATCTTCATTCACTTGGTGAAAGAACAAACACCAGAGATTTATACAAGCTTTTAAGTTAATTAGTGTGTAGATATGGATAGCTGCAATAATAGTGTTAGTGATGAGGTTGCTGTTGTTATGGTGCCTCTTCCTGCTCAAGGCCATCTCAACCAGCTTCTTCAGTTCTGCTGCTTAATCTCTTCCTATGGACTCCCTGTTCACTACGTTGGATCCGCCATCCACAACCAACAAGCCAGACTTCGAGCAAATGGCTTAGACCCCAACAAAATAGCCAAAATCCATTTCCACGATCTCCCCACTCCTCATTTCGATTCCCCTTCCCCCAATCCCAATGCCCCCATCAAGTTCCCAGCTCATATGCAGCCAACCTGGGAAGCCTCGCAGCTCCTTCGCCACTCCACTGCAAATATTCTCCGCGAATTAGCATCTAAAGCTAGAAGGATTGTGATCATTCATGACTATCTGATGTCTTCTGTTGTTCAGGATGGAGCATCTCTCACTAATGCTGAGATTTATGCCTTCAATTGTATCTCAGTTTTGTGTAGGGTTTCCTACATTTATCAACAATTAGGAGCGCAATTCGTCGAGGAAGGAGAGTTGCGAGAGCTGCTGCCCACTTATGGGGGATGCGCAACAGAAGAAATCATGAGGCTTGGAGAAGCCCAGAGAGAGTATGCAAAGTTCAAAGCTGGAGATATTCATAACTCCAGCAGACTGATTGAAGGTCCGTTTATTGATTTATTAGAGAAAGGGGAAATGGCTCAGAGGTGGAGCCAATGGTTTATTGGTCCTATACTCCCTGCAAAACCCGGGTTAATCTCGAACAAATCGAATGTTTGCTTAGATTGGCTTGATGAGCAGCCTCAAAGCTCTGTTCTATACATTTCATTTGGTACCATGACTTCCATGTCTGATAGGGAGGTGAGGGAGCTGGCTTTGGGGTTGGAGCGGAGCAAACAGAGGTTCTTATGGGTGTTGAGAGATGCAGATAAAGGCGATATCTTTTCGGGTACAGCTCGAGAGATTGAGTTGCCAGAGGGATTCGAAGAGCGGGTGAGAGGAGTGGGAGTGGTGGTTAGGGACTGGGCACCACAACCCGAGATCCTGGCTCACCCGTCGACTGGAGGGTTCATGAGTCATTGCGGGTGGAATTCGTGCATGGAAAGCATCACTTTTGGAGTTCCAATAGCTGCCTGGCCTATGCATTCTGATCAGCCTGTTAACAGTTTTTTGGTGGCCAAAATAATCAAAACAGGCCTGATGGTAAGGGAATGGGCGGATCGCGAAGAGGCGGTGAAGTCATCAGCCATTGAGAATGTGGTGAGGAGACTTATGGCATCAGAGGAAGGAGATGAGATGAGAAAGAGAGCTCAAGAACTTGGCGAAAACATAAGAAAATCAGCTCAAGAGGGAGGTGCTTCTCAAACGGAACTCAACTCTTTCATAGCTCATATCACTAGATAGACTGTTTATTTTGGGAGATGCTTCAATGTTTAGAACTAATCCCCTCCCCCCTCCCCCGCTTCCGTTTATGAATTTGGAGTGTGTTAAACCAAAAAAATGATATATGGAAAATGTTTTCAGGAGTTATTTTTTAAAAAATATTTTCATTTCTAATATTTGGTTAGATTCCAGAAAATTGTCTTGATGTTTGAATAAATTTTAATGTTTAGAGGTAACCCCTTCCCCTCCCCCTCCCCACTCCCCCACTTGCATTTATGAATTTGGTGAAAATTTTTCAGAAAGTTATGAATAATATTGATTTTTTTTTAAGCACTAATTATTTATTATCTGTTCTATACTGTGACAACCCATTTAGAATGATACCAAGAGGTATGATCATATTATATAGTAGTTTGCAAGTTATGAAAAGTATAGATACAGAAAAAGAAATGATGTTATTTCAACCAAATTTAATTTGATTTACTCTTATCTCTATCTACTATACCTATATCTTTCCCTACTGTCATTTCTGTTGAAATTA